TGTGTGTGTGCGTGTGTGGGGGTGTGTGTGTGTGTGTGTGTGTGTGCGTGTGTGTCCTACATTATGGGGCCCAGTTTTAAGGAAAATGCAGCCTCGTGGGGACCGGGTGCCCCTTGTGGGGCCCAAGGCCTGGCTCACCGGGTTGATCACCTTGGAGATAGGGAAGGGGCCCACGAAACGAGGAGCCAGTTTACGGCAGTCTACCCTCAACGATAAGTCCTTAGTGGAGAGCCATACTCGATCGACCACCTGGTACTGGAGTCCTTCTCCTGTTGGCAGTTCTGGTGGCCACGAGGGTAGACTTTACCAGTTCTTTCTTGGTGGCTCTCCAAGCTCTCTGACACCGAAGGGCTGCTTGATGGGCTGAGGGAACCTGGGCTGCTCGTTCGTGGGCAGAAAACACCGGCGGCTGGAATCCATAGACCACATAGAAGGGTGACAGCCTTGTGGAACTTGATGGCAGGCAGTTGAGTGCATGTTCGACCAGGGAGAGATTCATAGCCCACTTAGAGGCGTCGTTGCCGCACAGGATCCTTAGGCGGGTCTCTAGTTCTTGATTGGCTCTCTCCGTCTGACCGTCAGTCTGAGGGTGATATCCTGAAGAAAAACTCAGTGAGATGTCGAGTATGGCACAAAACTCTTTCCAAAAACCTGAGATAAACTGAGGGCCCTGGTCTGACATTATATTGCTTGGCAATCCATGAAGCCTGAAAACATTGTCCATAAAGACCTGAGCCATTTCCTTGGCTGTGGGCAGACCGGGGAGAGCGACAAGGTGTACCATTTTAGAAAAACGATCCACAATCYTAAGGATCACAGTCTTACCCTCAGACTGCGGCAGACCAGTCACAAAATCCATAGAAATGTGTGACCAAGGACGTGATGGTATAGGGAGAGGCCTGAGGAGACCCGCCGGTGGCCGTCGAGAGGATTTTGCCAGGGCACACTGAATACAAGATCCAATGAACTCTAATGTCCCTTTCTAGGGATCCCCACCAGAACTGAGACCTGACTATACTTATTGTCTTGGTGACACCCGGATGGCASTAAAGACGTGAAGAATGGCAAAATTCCAATACTTTATCAACTAGGTGGTCTAGAACGAAGAGTTTGTCATCCGGGCATTCATTGGGAGGTGGGTGGTTCTGGTGGGCTGCCCTGACTTCTCTTTCGACTTGGGTTACGGCCAGGCGCATAGCATCTGGCAGGACGAACCCTCCCTTGTCGCCTTTGGTTGTGTCAGACTCATGAACTCTCGACAGGGCATCCGGTTTAGTGTTTTTGGTCCCGGGTCTGTAGGATAAAACAAAGTTGAAATGACTGAAAAACAGAGCCCATCTGGCCTGTCAAGGTTTTAATCATTTAGCTGATTTACGATTCTCAAGGTTCTTGTGATCAGTCAAGACAAGAAAAGGCAGGCAAGCACCCTCCAACCAGTGCCTCCACTCCTCCAATGCCAGCTTCATCGCCAACAGTTCCCGATCGCCCACATCATAATTCAGTTCTGCAGGAGAGAGAGACCTAGAAAAGAAAGCACACGGGTGAACTCTGTTATCGGCAAATCTCTGGCTAAGGATGGCCCCGACACCAGAATTAGAAGGATCAACTTCCACAATAAACTCTCTGTATCAGGAAAGTGAAGGATCGGGGCTGTGGTGAATATTGTCTTTAGACATTTGAATGCCTCTTCAGCTTCTGGATTCCACAAGAACTTGGTTTTGATTGAAGTTAACTAATTGAGTGGAGCTGCTATTGAACTGTAGTTTTTGAGTAAGCATCTGTAAAAGTTTGCAAAACCTAGAAAGCGCTGTAGTTTACGGGTCTGGGGTGTGTTCCAATCTTGGACTGCTGTGACCTTGGCTGGATCCATGGAGATTTGATCTGGAGCTATCTTAAATCCCAAGAAGGTAGTGTCGGTTGTGTGAAACTCATTTTTCTGCTTTGACATACAGCTTGTTAACGARCTGGCTTCCTTTGACCTTCCTTTGACCTGTGTCTCAGTGTTTCTGGAAGGTAACAAATGAGTACCAGAAATTTTTTTTACCTCTTCGGTTTAGTCTTCGCTSATGCAGCCTTAAGTCGATGCGTGTCGCCAGGTCCTCCAACTCCTGTAAGGACTGGGGTGGATCACGAGTCGCCAGTTCGTCCTTGATGTCCTCGTTCAATGCCTGCATAAAAGCATCCTGCAGAGCCTCATCATTCCACCAGCTGTCCACTGCCAGGGTGTGAAAATCAATAAGCTCTGTGACCCTCTTGTTCCCCTGTTTGAGAGTTAGCAGACCTCTGGACGCTTCTCGATGTAGAAGAACTGGACAAAAAAAAAAACTCTTGAGTAACCCTTTAGCAAAATCTTTGTACTTGTAACAAATAAGAGTGTCTCTTTGCCACTCAGCAGTTCCCCACAACTTGGCTTTACCAGACAAAAGTGAAATAACATAAGCGACCTTGGAGCGTTCAGAAGGGAATGGTGAAGGTTGTAACTCAAACTGTATCTCACATCGAGTGAGAAAAGCCCGGCCCTGATCGGAGTCACCTTTGAATTTCTCAGGTGGGCACAAACAGGGCTCCATACATGAGGAAGGCTGAGGTCTTGAAACATTAGGTGAAGCTGCTTGTCCTCCAGCAGTGGGAGCCGTAACATTACAAGACAATGATAAATTACTTAAAGTTGTGTTAATATTACGAATACTTTTATCCAGATCATTTAAAGCTCCCTCGATATTTGCCTTCCAGGCTGTGTTCGGTTCAGAGCTCATAGTGGCCAGATTATCTGTTAAGGTTTGTATTTTGAGCTCTGAGTAAACACCAAACAACGTCAAAGTTTTAACAAGTTTATTGTTGGAAAATTTGGCTGGATGGTTGGGACCGGACTCCGGGGTCGTCAGTTCTGGACACAGAAGTTTAGGGTTAGGTTGGGTCGTGAACACAATATTATTTGTGAAAKAGAAAGTCACCAACCTTTCCTGCTGAGTTGAGATCCGGGTTGAAACAACAGCTGATGTGTTTTGGTTCCGGGCTGTGTTGTCACGGGAAGCTAATGGATCACTGGACTTACTCGTGGTCAGAAACGGGGCAAGGGTCATACACAGGTGATCAGAGGACGTTACCAGGTTAGAAGGAGATGACTGAGTCGTTGGTCTAGAGATGCGTTCAGGGGTCGAGATCCAGGAGGTCCGATGTGGCGCGGTTCTGTTCAGGGAGCAGGCGAGAGACAATKARCCAAGAGACAGAAAAAAGGTCGTTACCGTGAGAGCAGATGGCAGGAAGGGACAAGAATGCTGGAAGATCATAGGCGAGGCTGATGATGATCTGGCAGTGAGCTGGAGCGTGAGACTGAGTTAAATACTGCTGGAAACAGGTGAGTGAAATGAGCTTGATTAGAGTTTCTATGACGGGAGGGGTGAGAGCAATGAGCAGGAGCTGGATGTGAACTGAAAGGCTGGGAACAAGACTGAGGAAGAACTGGAACATGAAATAAGATAATAAAACTAAACTGGGACAAGATCTGGGCAGACAGTGACAGAATCATAACACTGGGTGCTCCTTGTGCGGCCCAAAGCCTGGGCCCCACAACTTCAGAGGCTGATTTTGGGTTAGGGGTTGGGTTTAGGCCTAAGGTGTGGATTGAGTTTAGGCTAGTTTTAGGGTCAGGAAGGTACCTGTGAGGTTAGCCTTAGGGTTTGTGGTCAGGGATAGGATATAAAATTACCAAAAAATGAATGGAAGTAAATGGACGGGCCCCACAAGGATATAAAAACAAGTGTGTGTGTGTGTGTGTGTGTGTGTGTGTGTGTGTGTG